ATAGCGCAAAGAGAATATGGTCACACCAGAGTCTAGCAAGACAATGGCCGAATATTTTTTAAAAAACAAAAAACAATAGTGACCTGTCACTACTGTTCACTGCTGCCAATTCTATTGAAGTGTTAATAAACATCTTCAGTTAGATCATCTGACTCATATTGTCTTTCAAGTCACACAAAACAGTACAGTGGAAATGTCTGAAGTGAAAAGAAAAAAAAGAAAAAAAATACCAGAAGTAGTTAGAAAAAAAAAATGTAGGTAGGTTTGCTGTTCCTACGTTCATTAAGCTAGAAATACAGACCAACTACATCCACTCTCCTCAGCAGTTGAGGGTCAATCATAGACTTATTTGGGCCGGATACGTCATCTCAGCATCTTGGGAGGCTGAGGAGAGAGAATTGCTTGAGGCCAGGAGTACGAGACCAGCCTGAACAACATAGCAAGATCCTGGCTCTTCAAAATTGAAAAATTAGCCAGGTATGGTGGTAGTTCCAGCTACTCGGGAAGCTGAGGCAGGAAGATTGCTTGAGCTCAGGAGTTACAGGCTGTGATGAGCTGCATGACAGAGTAAAACCATGGGTGACAGAATGAAACCCTGTCTCAAAACAAACAAACAAACAAAAACCCCCCAAATCCCAGCAACAAAAAGTTCTTATTGGACAGCGTTATTGGGATATGAACTCCAGCTGCAAATTCATCAAAAAATTGTATGGTTCTAAAGCTTTATGTCTTTTGGTAGTTTCATTACAATTTTTCTTTCTTTTTTGAGTTAAGTCTCATTCTGTCACTCAGGGGGGAGTGCAGTGGTATGCTGCTCACTGCCACCACAGCCTCAACCTGCTGGGCTCAGGTGATCCTTCCGTCTCAGCCTTCCAAGTAGCTGGGACCATAGGCATGTGCCTGGCTAATTTTTTTTCTTTATTGTAGAGATGAAGTCTTGCCACACTGCCTAGGCAGGTCTCGAGCCCATGTGCTCAGGCAATCATCTCACCTCAGCCTCCCAAAGTGCTGGGATTATAGGTGTGAGCCACTGTGCCGGGCCTACAATCTCTTTTATTTGATTACTAACACCTAACCAAATATAAAGCAGTAAAATACAGATTAAAAAACAAAACTTGCCGGGCGCAGTGGTTCAGTCCTGTAATCCCAGCACTTTGGGAGGCCAAGGCTAGAGGATTGTCTGAGTCCAGGGATTAGAGACCAACCTGGGGATCTTGGCAAGACCTTGTCTCTATAATAAATCAAAAAATTAGCCGTGTTTAGTGGCACACGCCTGTGGTTCCAGCCACTTGGAAGGCTGAGGCAGAAGGATGGCCTAAGACCAGTGGGGGGAGGCTGCAGTGGCTTTGAGTGTGCCACTGCACTCCAGCCTGGGCAACAGAGTGACTCAAAAAAACAAAAAACAATACCCCCCCAAAAAAACTCCCAAACATTAAGGTGTTTTTCTGAAAACCAAATTCCTGAAGCTGGATGTATGACAAAAAGTATACAAACAATTATCAAGAAGCTAGGTGAATGGCTAGGTGGTCATGAAAATATTCCAAGGACAAAGAATAATGGAAACATCATTAAGTTGTAAGTCAAATAAGCTAGATAAATGATTATGTGTCCTTGGCCTCATCACAACCTAAGTTTCCATTTTCACATGAAACTTATAAAATGTAGAGGGTTTAGAACAGATGGTTTCTAAGTTTCTCTTACAATTTAAACCATTACAATTTTTTTTTTTTGAGTTGGGAGTCTCACTCTGTTGCCCAGACTGGAGTGCAGTCACTGCTCTCGGCCACCGCAGCCTCAACCTGCTGGGCTCCGGCGATCTTTCCGCCTCAGCCTTCCAAGTAGCTGGAACTACAGGCGCGCACTACCACACCCGGTTAATTTTTTTATTTATTGTAGAGATGAGGCCTCACCAAGTTGCCCAGGCAGGTCTCGAACCCATAGGTTCAGGCAATTCACTCACCTCAGCCTCCCAAGGCGCGGGATTACAGGCTGAGCCACTGAACCTGGCTAACCATTACAATTTTAAGTATGCTGAAAAACATTTGTATCAGACAACCCTAACTGGAAAGTTATAACCTGATGGAATGTGAGTTTCTAGGAACACAGGTATGCACAGATGACAAAATAGAGATAAAAATGATGCATTCTGAGAATACTAGCAGCCCCTATTGTCAAGAGTAAATTCCCATGGTTCTTGATGTAGGAAAAATATTGGTCACAAATTGTTTTTTTTTTTTTTGTGTTGGAGTCTCACTCTGTCACCCAGACTGGAGTGCAGTGGCATGCTCATAGCCACCGCAGCCTCGACCTGCTGGGCTCAAGCAATCCTTCCACCTCACCCCTGCAAGTAGCTGGAACTACTGGTGGGTACCACCACGGCCGGCTAATTTTTTTATTTATTGTAGAGATGAGATCTCACTAAGTTGTTCAGACTTGAACCCTGGGCTCAGGCAATCTGCTTGCCTCTACCTCCCAAAGTACTGGAATTACAGTTGTGAGCCACTGTGCCTGGTAGATTGGCCTTTTCTTTTCTTTTTGAGTTGGAGTCTCACTATGTCACCCAGACTGGAGTGCAGTGGCTGCTCCCGGCCACCGCAGCCTTGACCTGCTGGGCTCCAGCAATCTTTCCGCCTCAACCTTCCAAGTAGCTGGACAGGCGTACGCTACCACTCCCAGCTGATTTTTGATTTATTGTAAAGATGAGGTCTTGCCAAGTTGCCCGGGCGGGTCTCGAACCTGCGGGCTCAGGCAATCCACTCACCTCAGCCTCCTAAAGCGCTGGGATTAGACTGAGCTACTGAGCCCAGCTGATTGGCCTTTTCAACTTCATCATTAAACCTGGACAATATTGTTCATAGCGATGCTTGTTAAATTGGAGGACAATACACATAATTCTTGATAGTGCTATTTAGGACTGCCACTGAATTGTCTTGCCCCCCAAATCCGTATGTTGAAGTTCTAACCACCAGTACACCTCAGAATGTGACCTTATTTGGAGATAAGGTCTTCAAGTTAATATGAGGTCGTTAGGATGGGCCCTAATACATTATGACCAGTGTCCTATAAAAAGAGGAAATTTGGAGACAGACTCACATACAAGGAGAACAGCATGTGAACATGATGATATCCACCTCCAAGTCAAGGTGAGGCCTGGGACAGATCCTTTCCTCACTGCCCTCATGAGGAACCAACTCTGTCAATAACTTAATTTTGAACTTCTGGCCTCCAGAATTGAGAGACAAAAAAATTTCTGCTAGTCAGATGACTCAGTTTATGATAATTTATGACAGCCACAGGAAACTGATATAGATACCAAGACTAACTTATCATTATGAGAAGTAATTTACACATTTACATGCCAGCGGCCTCCAATCTTTCAGATCTTCCTAACTTCTATTAATATTTCAGTGGGCTTCCTCAGTCAACAATTTGGCATCAGAAGTTTGGGCATGACACCAGTTGCAGTAGCTCACGCCTGTAATCCCAGCACTTTGGGAGGCGGAGGTGAGAGGATCGTCTGAGCCCAGGTTTGAGACCAGCCTGGACAACTTGGCAAGAACCTATCTGTACAATAAATCAAAAAATTAGTAGGGCATGGTGGTACATGCCTGAAGTTCCAGCTACTTGGAAGGCTGAGGTGGAAAGATTGCTGGAAGGAGTCCAGCAGGTCAAGGCTGCAGTGGCTGTGTGCATGCCACTGCACTCCAGCCTGGGCGACAGAGTGAGACTCTGACTAAAAAAGGAAGTTTGGGCATGACTTTGTGGTTTCAAAACTGAAAATGATATGTCACTGGGTTATAAAATAGTTATGTTATTTTATTATCTAACCTCTTGCTCATACACTTGCAGCCATCTTAAATTACTCAACATAAAGCCGGGCTCGGTGGCTCAGCCTGTAATCCCGTGCCTTTGGGAGGCTGAGGTGAGTGGATTGCCTGAGCCCGCGGGTTCGAGACCCGCCTGGACAGCGAGACCTCATCTCTACAATAAATCAAAAAATCAGCCGGGCGTGGGAGCACATGCCTGTAATTCCAGCTACTTGGAAGGCTGAGGCAGAAGGATCACTGGAGCCCAGCAGGTCGAGGCTGCGGTGGCCGGGAGCAGCCACTGCACTCCAGTCTGGGTGACAGAGTGAGACTCCAACTCAGAAAAAAAAAAAAAAAAAATTACTCAACATAGACAGGGGCTTAAAAAAAATTGTTTTTTTAAAAGACTATCCAGAAAACCAAATCTTTTCTTCCTATGATAATACTGGCTTCCTAATGTTACTGAAAGAATAACAAAGATAGAGTCCACTGATTACCCAGGGGACAATTACTGATGGAGAATGCAAAACAAGGGTCTGGCATATTAATGGCAGTAGCAGCAGACTTAATTGTATATTATACTGCATTTTAGTTCTGGTAGTACAATAACTTAATGACTTTATACACAAAAAACTGAGTTTGTCTTGAGTTTAAAAATGTAAAAGTCAGCCGGGCTCGGTGGCTCAGCCTGTAATCCCGCGCCTTTGGGAGGCTGAGGTGAGTGGATTGCCTGAGCCCGCGGGTTCGAGACCCGCCTGGGCAGCGAGACCTCATCTCTACAATAAATCAAAAAATCAGCCGGGCGTGGTAGCGCATGCCTGTAATTCCGGCTACTTGGAAGGCTGAGGCGGAAGGATCACCAGAGCCCAGCAGGTCGAGGCTGCGGTGGCCGGAAGCGGCCACTGCACTCCAGTCTGGGTGACAGAGTGAGACTTCCACTCAAAAAAAAAAAAATGTAAAAGTCAATAGCACCTATGGCTAAAGAAGAAAAACTGTAGCTCCTTTCTTTACTACATCTAATACAACTTTTTTTCTTTTTTCTAATTCATGAAGTTGGAGCACATGAAAGAAACAGGATGGCATCACCAAGAATGGTTAAAACTACAAACTACCATGCAATTGAAAATATCACATTTAAGTTATATTTATATACTAAGAATGATGGAACAGTGCCAAAAAAATGAGACAATTAGAAAAGGGCAACTTTTATAAGCTGTATTTACAACCATCTATTTTAACATCTCCAAAAAAGGTTGAATTCATTATTTTACATCAGCATTCTGTAAGTTAGAAAGAATAATCAAGTTGTCTCATGAACTGGAAGGTGGCTTATTAATTCCCTTTCATTTCCAAACCTCATCAAGCAGTCACTACACTTATGAGGCAAGTCAGCTGAATGCTTGAAATCAAGATGAATTTTAAGATCTTCAATCTGTCCTGTTGAATATTCGCAATATTGACATAAATAAATTCCTTCGGATAAATGTGAATTTAAATGCTTGCAATATTCTAGCATACTTGAAAAGCCTTTCCCACAGTCATCACAAACGTGAGGAAAGATTTTCGTATGCTCGATAGCAACATGCCTGTTAACATTTGTATGAAGTCTACTCCGAAAGCCACATACTTGACATACAAAAAGTTTTTACATTTGTCAAAAGTAATTTTGCTTAAGAGGCTGTACTGTCCGTGTTCTCCATTGTATACTTATCACTTAACTCTATTAGTTTACATGCATGTTCATTTACTACGTGCTATGCAAGTCTTCTGGATCAT